ATCTTATCTTATCTTATCTTATCTTATCTTATCTTATCTTATCTTATCTTATCTTATCTTATCTTATCTTATCTTATCTTATCTTAAGATTTTTGTTTAAAACTTTGGCAGCAGGCGTTTCTTCAAGGATTGCTAGTTTCATTATTCAAATAAGGACTAGATAATTTTATTCACACACAGTTATGGAGAAAAAGGCTTTAAAACTACTTTAGCATGAATGTAATTAAAGAAGAAAAAAGACAGCTTATTAAAGTAACAGATCCTGTCTACATCATCCGTTTTAACAACATGTCATCGTTTCGCTGCCGTTCTAAACACATGCACAGTGCCGACTGACTCTACCTTCGTCTTCATAAACTTTGAGTGGTTCTTGTAGACCTCCATCTGTTTGATCTCTTCCTCTCGGTCCTCCGTGTTCAGTAAACTGTTCGCCTTCAGCATCTGGATCTCATCCTCCAGATCTCGAATGTTGCGCTCCAAGGAGGCAATTTTGGTGTCCTGCACACAAACATGTGGAGGAGACACACCTCAAAACCAAGACTGGCGTCTCCGTGAGTTGCATGCTGCAAAATAAACCCTGAACTACAGACAAGAGTCCAGGAAGGAACGGAGTGAATGTGATGAAAATGATTAGGACAGACAGCGAGAATAAAAAAAAGAGAGGGAGAAACGTGTAGATGGAGCGAGATAAAGAGTGAGAGGAAGAAGCTCTTTGGTCCGGCTGAGAGCAACTGCAGTATCTGTCGGTGAAATCAAAAGCTTTCTACCCAGCTCCTTGCAGCGGCTCAAAGGATTAATCACCATTGGGAAATATTGAGCGCACATCCAGCACAGATTGATCCGCCAGGAATGAAGAGAAACGTACAGAGGAGGGAGGGGAAGAAAAAAAAGAGGAGGAAAAGTAGCTTTAGCCGTAGTTGCTTGCAGAGAAAATGCAGAATCAAGTCTCTGGACTGGGACTGGGAGTGCAGCTTTAGCTTCATAGCTTTTTAAATAAATAATATCACGTCTTTAAGATTAGCCATGGTTCATCTCTCTCTCCAGCAGAGCACAGAGCAACCTTGCGCCTTCCTTTCTCTCTCTCTCTCTCTCTCTCTCTCTCTCTCTCTCTCTCTCTC